CAAAAAAAATTCGTATTTTATATGAGAGTGTGGGGGGTGGGCAAACAATGCAATGCTGGCTGTAGAGTGCCTTGTCACTGATAACATTATGGGCCCCTGGTGAATATGATGCACGAACCCTTTTTGCCCTTTAGCAGTTGTCACAAATCTGATGTGTGGTAAATCCCCCACATAACTGGGAGCAGACTTCACAGTGCTTACAGAGGAATATAGCTGTAAGGAAAAACAGTGCACCTGAGCAGCCTTGGGAAGTAAAACAACATTAATTGGATTTGGGGAAGTCATCCTTACTAAAGGGACACTACTCTGACAGTATGACAGCAAAGAGCATGAATCATTATAACCCTACTGTGTCATATAAGGCGACCTCTACCAATAACCACCACTACTTACATTTGTTGACAACATGGAGCCGAGAGCTGTAGTTGTGGGTAATTAGGCAAAAAATGTTCACGCTAGATAAAGGACAGTCACAATAAACGGTTCCATCCATTCTATCCTGCAAGAATGAGCATAATTACACACACATTTTGCATTTATCTTTCAGAAAAGCAATGGATGCTAACCATTGCCACCTGGAACTGGCATATGGGCTGGCGCCCTCTTAGGGTAATGGGCGGGGAGGAGTCGGACTGTCTGTCGACCACTGGGTCATCGGTAACCAGCAGCTGGGAGGCCGCCCTTTCAACACATCAACAAATCTTGTTTTAATTAGCTCACCCGCCTATTTCCTCCCAACACTCCCCAAAGTCCTCCATCAAACCTCCCTCAGCTGGTTTACAGGCTCACCATCCTTCCTTTTCCTGCCTTCACACCCAGGACTAGCTTCAGCTTCTGAGCTTCACACCCACAGCTCTGCAAACACACACACACATACACACACTGGCTGTACTATAAATGAGACTGACAATTGACTTTGAGAAAGCTTGTATCTCATTGATTTTTGTATGGTGCCTCACTGATATAGTATCTTATTAGCTTTGGAAACGCCACTGATATGGTCATCGCTAAAGATCCATTTCCTTGGTGCCTGTCATAATCACAGGTGGGAAAGCTCTCCCAGGCTTTGTTATTATGTTCAGTCTGGCTCTTTCCATTGTTTAAAGAAGTTCAATAAGTGAACCAGAGGTTTACTGTATTGATCAGAGCCACTGTATGCACTTTAATGAGAGCACAAGCCTGTTATCATAATATATTTCAAGCCATACAAGCCAGTTACAACACATGTTGCCGAAGGGTTTATTCCAACTTGGTTACATGATAAATATGTCTAATGCTAATTATTGCATGATTATTTGTCCCATATGAAATTAAGTGTAGTTTAACCTGTTTAAACATACTAGGGTGCCATTAGCAAATAGCTAATTACTTGTACAATATTCCAAAGTGATATTTCCCCTTTAGACTCCCAATTCATTTTACAAGAGTAAGCTTCAAATTTTTCAAATGCTGGAAATCTCATTAAGAAATAAGCCTCTTCATTCACACACCGGTTCTTTATCAGAATGATCCCAGTGCTCATCCCTCCCTTTGAATACTTTATGAAGTTGTGATGGGGTCGCGCTGATAGTGTGGCTAGGTCCCACTGACTCTGGAGGCTGCTAACATACAAATCAGTCTAGACCTGGGAAGACTGGCCTTCGATGTTTGCCATTCTCAGGTGACTGATATGATCCAACCATCAGTGAACTACCAGCACAGCCTGCTGGTGCTCCAGTCCCTCTGGTCCACAGCAGCTCTCTCTCTCATCCACAGGGCTACCATATGGACACCTATTATAGGCACTGCTTAATTACCTATCAAAAACATTACAGTGCACTTGACGGAGGGCTAGCAGAAGGCGAGAGGGAGAAAAAAGACAGAGAGCGAAAAGAGCAGGCGTAAAAAAGAGTGAGAGATGGGAGAGAGAAATGAGAAAGTGGAGCTGAGAGATTGATAGAGAAGATGAGCCATGCATCTGTGTAGCTGAATTTGAATAGATGGAGACAGACATGGGGGAGTGGAGGAATAGCCTTGCAGTGCAGATGTGGAGAGCAATGTTCTAGGCAGCATCCTTTTGTGTCTAGTGCTTACAAACACACCCAACCAGGGGGTGAGGGGTGTCCTGGCATAGGGAGGCTATGAATTCCTTGGAATTGATGCTCCCTGCCATAGAGGATGAAGTTAAAGATGTGCAGTGCTCACGTTTGACCCTCTCTTCACTCTCCGTTCCCAAACCCCCACTCTTCTTTCTCAAACCTACAAACTCCCTACCTCATTCCCTCGCACCCCCAGCACACGGTTATCTGTTCTGTGTGTCACATGGCCCACCCTTAGCAGCCATACACCAAAATAATTAGCATTTCCAGTCAGACGGACTGCTGGTTAGAGGGGGGTTTGATGCATTCAGCTACAAGGTCTGTGCTGTAAATGTCAACCTCCATCACTCTGTTTCAGGCCAAAAAAAATCTGCTGTATAAGGTAATATTGATTTCTTTTTGCTAACGCATTGGCTCTTTGTATTTATAATAAATAGTCAACTGTCTCATTTCAGGACTTCAGTATTTCGGACCCTTGGGGTTCCAAAGGTGTGGCCATTTTCATTTCTGAAAGTAAATGTCACATACCAGGTTAATAACGTAAATGTCACATACACTTATACTGGATTAACCCGTTGTGTCTTTTAGTTTTCTGTGCATTGCAATGTAGAAATAGTCTGCACCATAATCTTTAATTCAATCTTGTGTCTTATATATTTGGAAAACCCATATACAGTAAAAGGATGGGGTTTTTTGTGCTTGTGCATCTGCTATTTAAATTGTTACTGTGTTTTAAAGGTTACTAAACAAAGACTCTATATGCAGTGTATATAAACTGATAAGAAGTGAGTGGGCAGTGCATTTCCTAAAAGAACCAGAGCTAAATGCCAAAACTAGGCATGAAAACAAATCTAACAATAAGAGCTAAAACTAAAACTGGGTCGGAACCCTAATGTTTGCCCCCACTAATAACTGAAACCTCAAACACACTTTTTAGTGGTGGTCTTTTGATTTTGGTAGTAGAACTATATCTAAGATTTAACATCCGCTGGTTATATATGATAGGAACACTAAGTTTGTGTTTGTTGTTTTTCAGCATATACAGCAGCTGTGTTAGATGCAGTTTTAACACGTCTGCCGAAACAGGAGATTATTGTGGGCTCATATCAAATCCAAAGTTATTTAAGATATTCTGTAATATGGAAAACATACAAAAGCTGTACATTGTCAACAGCCAGTGCTTCAAATCTGTTTTCTTACATCTACATTACAACTTATAACGCTGGTGAAGTGTCATCAACCCCCTTGTTGATGGCAGGCACTTTGCCATTTGCAGTTTTGATTTCACATACAAAACCATTTGCTGTATTACCACGAGACATAAATCAATATTAATTTTGTCTCTTGTAGCTTGAAGCTGCCCTCCACAATCCTGTTCACTGTGCATTGTTGGGCTTCTCTGCTGCGAGCACCTCCTTACCTCAAGGCTACCTCTGGGTAAGTAACATACACACACATTCAAATAACTGAAACCAATGAGAAAGAAAATAATGCATATTTTATAGTTACTGATAATTTCAGTTTTAAACACAATTACCATGACCATGTAAATGTCCTTTTTATTTAAGAAAAAAAGAGAATATAAAATGTATCTCAAGGCAAAGAATGGGACATGCACCATTCTTTTCTGTAAGACATTTACTGTATAAAATCTAGTCATAGGTGACTGCTGCAGAGTGTTTTATGATGAGTGGCAAATCGTGCCACCAGTCTATCACACCACAGTTCTCCAAATTAAGCTAGGGAACTTAGCTAGATCTAGAAAGAGGGCGAAACTCACACAAACAATGATTCAGAGAATCTGCTATTAATCTTTAAGTTTCGATCTTTGTTTCCACTCCTTTCTGCAGAAGGTGGGCAATTTATCAGGCAATCTTCTTTTGACCTTATAGGTGGCAGAAAAATCAAGTGTAGGCCCTGGCCTCAAAGTACAGCTGAGATTCTCAGACTGCTTTTTGCTTTTGTGGTGCTATTCTAAAGAGGACTGGATACTGCCAGAAATGTGGAAAAGGACATATGGTGGAGCCAGCATTTAGAGCTTTGTGATATCTGTGTGTGCAGGAGCAGAGGCCACTTTGACCTGATATTACAAATGACTTAAATGCCCCGGACCCTGTCCTCCCACACTGTTTTGGGGAGCAAATGTTGCTTGCCTATATGCTGTGTGTTACACTGGTAAAGGGTCAGTGAGTGAAGGTTAGGCTGAAAGCGTCAGGTTAAAAGGTTTCCATTTCTGTACACCTGCATGTGTTCATTAACAATAAGCCGCAATTGCTTCAGCAGTTGCTGTATCTGTAGCAGCGTGGATAGTCCAGATCAAGTCATGAGTCTTCAACATAAAGTGCAAGTCAAAATCCAAGTCTTGCAAGTCTTTCGTAGGCGTATCAAGAGGGTGGCCAGGGTTGGCACCGGCCACCCCAGAATCTAATTGGCCGCCCTTGGTGCCACCTTTGCAAGAGTCAAAATTACCCTAACCCTCCCCTGCTGGGAGTAAATAAGGAGCGCAGCCAAAGTTAGCTAAAGAAAGCTGTGTGTTGTTTATTATTTTGTAAAGCTAGGGGTTATATTTACTTTTCACATATATTTCAAATGTGCCACCCCTCTCTGAATCTATGCCCCAGCCTGGCCGCCCCATTCAAAATGTTCTAGATCCATCCCCGAGGTCTCTGATTGCAGATTATCAAAATGACTGAAAATGCAATTGGACACATTCTTTTCATAGCTACATCAATGTTTTACACATATTTTAGACCAAGTCCTTTAATTTAATAGCTTTAATAATTAGATATGAAATGTGTGTGACCACCGAAGTCTGTCCTGCTTATTTTTTTTATTGTTCTAGGACATTACCAGGTTAGAATTTGATACTTGATGGTTACCAGTTTTAAAGTTGAATTTTTAGAGTCCAGTGTAAAGGAAGTCAAGCTGAAGTAAATTTCAAACCCCACATTTCTGCAGCATGGCCAACCTGAACCCAGTGTCTGTCTGCTAGCAGTCTTTATCATTTCCAAGAAGTTAGCTTTACCTCAAAGGGAATAAGAGAATGGATCTTAGGGAAGGACAATGTTACAGTAGATGTTTACTGAGATGGAATATTACTCAGTAAACAATGAAAATTCACCTCTTTATGGAATTATTATTGCATTTTTGTATTTATAGCCATTTTAAATTGTTGGAATACTTGGGTGCACATATTTAATTTCAGTAACTTGAACTATAACTCACTTGTCACCTGTGAAGACCCAAGGACTGTGGCTCCTCTATATTGAATGCTATCTGTAAGGAAGTCTTTAAAAACACATGAGGTCATCCAGAAGGTCTTTCACTGAAGAGCCACGATGCTTAGCAACTAGTTTTGGTAAGGATGGCATTAAAAACTCAAGAGATTTTGAAGTGTTTGAAACCAGTGTTGCAAACAGGACAAGCTGCTCCTGGAGTACTAAGCACATCTGAACTTTATCTAACACAGTGAAAGTTACAAACTGCACTGGAGCGGGTACCTGTGAGTGTTAATGGATAGAAACATGTAAACCAGTGCAATTTTATCAGGCCCAGTTAGCTGCCACGATATTGTGAATGGCTGCAACTCAGCCACACTCACATTGCAATTGGGAAGTCATTTTGGATATGTGAATGCAAGATTACAGCAGCATTACACTGTTGTCTTTGTGTAACTCTGATTACATCAACACTGAATGGGACAGTACATTACTTGAAACAGCAGCTAACCCCAGACTAGCCATCTTGCTGCTTAAGTACAGTACGGATGAGTTTTAAAGTAAGTGACTGTGTAGCCTATGTGTTTAATTAACGTTACGGATCCGGGGACTTATATTAACAGGTCGGCTGATTTAGTGATAATTGCGAGTTTGTAAAACCAGACCTAAAAGGACTCTACTGCTCAGTACGACATGTAACTAAAGCAAAAAAAAACAAACAAAAAAAAAAAAACTGGTATCCATTAAAAATAATTGTTAAGGCCTGAAGATTGAGCAAGAATAATTATCAGCTGAGCGTTCCCACCGCCAGCTGGTTCTACCTCCCTGACAGGCTTGTCAAATAAGGAATGACACTAATCATGTTAAAGCGAGATGGGCTATAGGGATTTCTGTGTGCTTTGATCAAAATAATGACATTGTGTCTGTTCAGCATGATGCCCCAATGTTTTCCTGTTTGCCTTCACCTTCCTTGTCCCACTTTTCCCAACACCCTACTTCTCATTTTTAGAGGAAGCTTTCGTTAACTCTGCCCTTATGTTTCTAGTCTTGTGCACTCGTTCACAACTTGAGCAGTCCAGGAAAGAGGCAGAGATGGAGAACTTGAAATTCATCATTTTCAGAGTTCATCGACAAACAAGTGACCCATTGTTCTGGCTTCTTTTTGAGGCAAATACAACTGAGCAAAGTGTGCTGCCCTGACTGTTCTCCCCACACTTCCTCACTGCACCCAGAGCAAACTAATTAATGTTAGCAGAGCATTTGCTGTTTGGGAAGGTGCTGCTTCTCCCACGCTGACAGAATGAAGCTGTCCAGGGCACAGCTCCAGATATCTAGTTCCCCAAACAAGTAGTGATGACTTTGTCAAGACGGGACAGTATCTGCACTGGATATCTGGGTAGAATTCAGTCAGAAAGAAAGAGAGTGTTCTGCTAACAGGGATAGTGGTGATGGTGGTGGATGGAAGGGTTAAGGAGGTACAGATGGACATGTGTATGTACGATGTAGTGAAGTCTGGGGGAAGGGAGCCTTGCCTCTGGCTTTGGTTACACAGTCACTTGAAGCTGTGGTCTTCAGGCTCCTTGCTGCAAGATAAGTCCCTATCTTCTTTTCACCCTGTGCAACAGACCATTTTTTGTTCTGGCTCATTGTCAAGAACCCAAAGAATTGCTCCTGTCCAGATTCTGCACGCTGATACAAATCAAACAAATGATTGCATGCAAATAAGGGTAAGCGTGTAGGAGAAGAGCTAAGGACTATATTTAGCTCATGTCACATTCACACAAGGTGATTTCATATAGAGAATAAATCTCCACTGTCTAGCAGCAAGCAGCCAAGCTTCTTTTCCAAAAAGAACATTATATTTTGTCTTGACATCCACCTAGGCCTAACACAGGAGTAATGAATTAAATCATATTGAAAACCCACAGCAACACTTTAATTGTTTGCGAATGGGAGCAATGCCACCATAATTGGAATTGCATCAAAGATAGGTTGGGGGGCTCCTGCTGTCTTTGTTTTCTCAGCATTGGCATTGACAGGCTTACACAGGGGCCAATATAAATGGGGTACATAGAAAATCAAGCCTCTATTGAGGCAGACACTCAGCCTGCGGGCTGGGAGTCGCCTCGGGAAGCTTGTTGTGATTGGTGGACCATTTTCTGATAACATCTGAGGTTGCTTTCTTGTTTGTTAGGGAGGTTTTTCACAACTTGATGCTGTTCAGAGAGGGAGAGACGTCTATAGGTGTTGACTGGTAGAAACCTAGTCCAGATTGATCTACGGCAGACTTCCAGCTTTCAGCACTCTGTTGTGTACTTCACTGGTACTGAGAGTCCTGTCTTCAAGTGCTCAGTTTGACCTTGGAAATCATGTTAAACTCAAATGTCTGTTTAATTAATTGAAAATGATTTTATTGACTCTAGCATTAAATCAGCTACTTGCACTTCATTAAAAATAAAGCAACTCAGAGGCTTTTAAGAACTTGCGACAGCCTCTCTGTTCTATGCTGATGAAAAAGATTGCAACGCTTTAAGAACGGTTTGATGCTTTAAAGATGGCATTGTGAATCCATTACATAATGTGTTTAAAATTAAAGTGAGGGAGAACTACAAAGTGCATGGCCTGAAAGGATAACTGATTTGAACTTTTTTAAATTAAATTGCTGACAGGTTTAAAGGATAAGGCTGGTCATTTCTAAGTTAACAGTATTTTTGACACTCCCCATACAGAGGCTAAAACCAACAATGAATTGTTTCTTTTCACAGTTAATATCCATGAGTGTGTCAGTCCTGGATCTCCTTACTCGTCTGTGCCATAGACCTCCCTTGTTGCTAAAAAACTACTAAATACACATCAGTGAAACACACCACATCATTAGTAAACCCCAGACCTGAGCGTGAGGAGCCAGCGGAAGGTAAACAAAGCGGAGAGCTTGTTCAAAATCTCACACATGCACAGTTGACACTGAATCGCGCTAACCTCAGGAAATTATGGCCTCTCTGAGACTTTGGGGCAACAGCGGTGTGTTTCCCTGATGTGTTTTTAATTGATTTTGAACAACAACGGCGGTCTACGGCACAGGCAAACAAGCTATTCCAGGGCTGACAGCTGACATACATTAACCATGAGTAGAGACAAGTCACTGTCAGTTTTAGTCTCTGTATGAACATTGCTGAAAATACTATTAATGTAGAAAATATCCTTTAAGAGAATGTTTAACAAATGACACATTATCCTCTGGCCTCCACAGTTCGATCCAGACAGTGAACACAAATTGCAAGCATGATCTAAGGGAACCTGGCCTGGTTCTGCTCTCTGCTCTTCCTATCTCTCTTTTTTCTCTATTCCAGCAGAATAGTTTATTACCTGTGTCATCATGATTCAGTCGACTGGTACATCCTAACATGGGGTCTTGACCTTTTTCAACCAAGTCTTTTTCTCCCTACAGGTGGCTAGTGGAGGAGTAGGTTCTGAGGGGCACATAGAGATATTTTCTCTCAACAGGCCCACACCAAGAGCTGTAAAGAGCCTGCAGGTAGGCTCTGCTGTCCGATGTCTGGAATATGTGCCTGAACCTTTTCCATCTGAGGAAGTGGAGGCTGGAATTCACGAGGCCCCTTCGGGGATGTGCACCAACATTTGTGTTGGATTAGATAATGGCCGGTGAGAGAAAATAGAAACAAACCTTTGTGTTGCTATACAATTAAAATAAAGAAAGAAAGTAAAGATACTGGAAAACTCCTGTTGTGAAATAATATCCTGCATTGTCCTTTGTTAGTCTCCTGAAACTTCTAGTAATTTAGATTTGCTTGTCAATATGTAATCAAAACAAGAAGTTAGCACTGATACTGTACCACAACACTGTTTCATTCTTTAATTCAGCAAACCTTCTGATCCCCACTGTGTGTAATAACAGAGTGGTTTTATCTCAGTCAGCTGATTGAGGGTAAATTGGTTTATTCAGACAAAGAAAATCTTTGAATTTCATATTTTCCTATTATATTAACACTTTCATTTACAGTAGAGTTTAGTCATTTGTATAGGCCCCAAATCATAGGTGAGCATTTTGTTTATACTGACTCATTATCTTAACGTATAGTTACATTTAACAACAACAAGAAGGAACCTTTTTCATCACACTTGAGTCTCAGCTCCAGTGCTACTTAACAGTTTCGTCTCAGACAGAGAGAAATAAACAGCTCTGTGCATTTGTTATTTTGAAGAAGACAATAAGATGCAGCAAAGATCAGATGGCATTTCAAACATGAGAAAGACAGAGTGGCTGCACACACACAATGCTTTACTCCAAAGTGCACTGTTAAATCAAACTGCATGAAAACGAGGCACTCTGTCATTTCAAATGACACCCATATATCATGTTGGCTTGTGTTGCTTTCTGTTTTTCCAGCATACTGGTCTACAGCAGCGTGGACACCGCAGCACAATGCACGGTGACCCTCAGTAACCCAGAGGGCTGCCCTGTGCTGTGCCTGAGGCACTCCTCTCGGTTCCTGTTTGCAGGTCTGCAGAATGGGACTGTGATGGTTTATGGAAGAAATAACAGTGGTAAGGTGCTTCCAGGGTTGCTTTGTTTTCAGACTGATGGCTGTAGTTTATTGTTCATCGGCGGCTGTGGCTACATTCAGTGTGTGGTCTGTCGGAGGAGTGAAAGTCTGCAGTCGTAATTGGTTCATTTATTTATGTTGCATTGTGAATGATGAAAAATTACATTGAAACTAATTCAAAATGCAAAACTTATTTGGAAAGATAACACATATTTAAATTGACTACACTGATTAAAATTCTGCTTGTATAAACTTTTATGTTTTGTCAAGACAGTAAAGTCAAACTTTTTATGTGTTTGTGAATTCCAACATTTACTGTGTGTGCTAGTTCCTAGCCATGCATTGCAATCACGAGCAGAATGTTTTAATTTCACAACAGATTACATTTCCAGTAGTTTGCAGGTTATTTATTGATACGAGGTCATCTGTTGTGCACTGTCTCTTTTGCCTTTATATTTAGTTGGCATGCTGGCCTCCCTCCTGTTCTGGTCATTTACACCAAGCTTCTGTATGCTGATTAAATATTACTATTCACACTTTGTGTATTCAAAAAAAAAAAAAAAGGATGGGAGAAAAGCTCTGGATGTGGAATGTGCTCCAGCACCAGCACCATGTACATCGTCCTTCATGTCAGCTTATAATGACAGTATTTTTCAAGACAAAGCAAAGAAATTTGGCTTGGTATGATGATGACACCCCCCCACCCCTGCAGTGTTACAGAAGGATAAAATTGGCATGGCCTTGTTTGGTGGAGGGGACAAGAGGGACATTTACAAGACTGAATTTTGAAAAGGTGGAAAAATGACCTTTATTACATGCCAAGCAATTAACCTGTGGAAGTCAGAAGGCATTGTGAGGCTATTCCACTCTGAAAGGCAGAAATAAACAACTCAAAATGTTAATTAAATGGCTGGGTGCGCTCCCTTCTCTAATTTTGCTTCAATAAGGAATAGCAAAGGAATCGCTTATGTAATTCACTTTATAGTGTGCGTTTGTAGTAGCAGCAACGTGTGCCCTGTGATTAGAACTCAAAGAAAAAAGTCAGCTTCATTTTCCCAATGATGAAGCAAAAAAGAGAGAAAAGAAGTGGAGATAAAGAAGTTCCAAAGTGGATGAAAGCGTACACCAGACTTATTAGCATGTGGGTGGAAGGGTGACAAAAACTGTGCTGCACAGTGTGGAGGTCCGCAGTCTTTATTTAGTCAGCCTGTAGGTCATATTCTCTCACATGGTTGTTGTTTGGTTTGGTTTTTTTGAAAGAAAACAGGCCTCCACTGTCAGCTCTTCCCACTGTTGCTCTTGTAAAAGCTCAGCCATATTAAATGGCTTTAAGAGTATCTTCTCAGTACACACCCTGCAAACGTACTGCGGTACAAGTGGTACCATAGGAATTGAATTGAATTTCCTTCCTCAATATGACAGTGGGACATTGGTCATGAGTTTATTAATATAACTGTAGGCTAGCTGGGATTATTGCCGGTAATTGTGAGGGTTCCTTCACATCCTTGTGATAGCTCATTGTGGTGCTTATTTTTAGATGACCTTTGGGACCCTGGCTCCTACAGATGTGTAAACCTGGGCTCAGAACCAGTGCGGACACTGTTAGTGTTAGATGACTCGGTGTGGGCAAGCTGCGGAAACTCCGTCACAGTCATGGACATCTCCAGCCTCTCCACTCAGGTAAATAACTAAAATCATTGCTGGCCTCATACTGTTTCAGTTTACCTTGTTGCTTAAAAATACACAGGTAAGCATCTTTTTGTCACAGAAAAAAACACTTTCATTTCAACACATTCTCGGGATTGTGAATTATTTGTCTGAATACTCCTGAATAAAACTCATTAGAAAGAATGTTCTCACTTCCTGCTTGTTAAATGTAGTAGTGATACTGTTGATCCATCCGATGCACTGTTGAACATTTTTAAACTTGAATCATTTATTGATATTTTATTTGATGTCTTATTTGATTATGATAATAGTATGCTACATGTATGTCCATCCTTTTAGCATTCTTGCTCTATAGGCTCAAGACAATGAAATCACTTATGCTGTATGTCTTTTCTTAAAATATATATGTGTATATATATGTATATTTCTTATTCAGTCATCATAACACGCATTGGTGTTTGGTGGGGGTTTGTTCCTTAGTTGTTATTAACTTAGTTTTTCCACTGTTTGCTTTATCTCTTTATTTCTATACGTTAGATTATGGAATGTACACTGACCGGCCAGTTACACCTGTACAAATGTACAATGCATTTCAGTACAACACATCCACTTTAACATCTGTTTTTATGAAACAATGTTTCAGTTTTTGGTGAAATCACCATAAATGTATAAATTTGGTGGTGTTGTGCTGGACTACGTTACATTCAGAGCTGTTCCTATTATTTTGATCCTCTCATGTATGTAGCTGGGGAGGACAAAGATGCAGACACCTCTGAATGTAATGTAGTGCAGTACAATGCCACCTTTAACTATGACCTCAATAATAAACCATTCATTAAATTTATATATTTATGACAATTTCACCAAAACAAACATTTGGAGCTTCATAAACACAGATGTTAAGGTGCAAGTGTTGTATTGAAGTGCACACAGTTGTACAGTTGTGACTATTAAAGTGGCCGGTGAATGTATCTGTTTTCTGTTTATATATACGTACATTTATCAGTGAAAATAGAAAAAGATTAGATGTTTTTCCCTTTATGGAAATAACTAGAGCTGAAAGGAAGTAATTCAGGTTACCATGATATATGGCATATATTGCAAAAAGGCATTCCAGTATAGGTTAAATGTTTTTAATGTACAGTGTTCTTACATTTATGCTGTTATACACAACAATATAACATTTTTGCATATTTGCATTTTTCATTTATTGTTTTTATACTGTTTTATACAATTTAACAAAACTTATCATATGTAGAAATTCAAAACCTAGATAAGCCAGCTACAGAATGTGTTAAAAATATTTTTGTTGCATTTCTTCCATCCATATTTACAAGGTCAAACATTGTATGAAGTTCTAAATGGATGGGTTCATAAGTGAAACTGCTAGACAAGGTGTTTTCTTATGTGTTTGCGTTATTGTCGTTTTGCAGCTTTGAGGAAAATTTCCTCTCCTTTCATTTTTTGAAAAGATTTATGCGTACAGCCTTAGAGAGCCAGCATTCTAATCTGTGATGCCATCAAGATTTACAGCCTGGAGCTGGTGCATGGACAACGAAGCCTTTGTAGATTCACATAGTGTATGTTGGATCTCCCACACACAAATAAGCCTCATTTTTCTGCAGCACCCTCAGCCCTGAGTTATGGTACAGGAATGCACACCATTATCTCCAGAATTTCATCCTGGGTGTTGTCTCTGTCATGCTTTCCCTTTTTGTGTAGTCATTTCCAAGGTGTTCATCTGTACTGTGTGTCACTAGAGACGTAAAGGGGGGACAAGTTCTCTGGCTCTAGTAAAAAAAAAAGTAATGAATGACAGAAAACAAAATCTTCTGGGTAATGTTAATATACTATTTGGATGCTGAACTGCAAACCATTACCATTTAATTATAGCTCCCGGATGTGAGTGTGTGTAGCTGTATAAATGTGTAGAAGGGTTTTTGTTGAAAAGGAGCATGTGTGCTAAGCAAACCTCCTCTGGATAAATAAATGTTGGTGACATACACTATAATGAGAACATGCTGAAGCTGAACAACCAAACAAACTAAAACATTAACAATAAACTAAATGCACATGTTTAATCATATAAATGTTTTCAATTTTATATGCAAATGAGCTATATTTCCGGAAAAACAAAAAAGAAATAGGAAAGTAATGGATGTACAACCTTTAACTACTTATTTTATTTGGAGCCAAATGCTCTGGTTGATCTTATGCCAAACATAAAAGCTGCAGATATACAACATGCAGCCATATACTGGGGGCAAACTTGGAAATTTAGTTTTGAGTTATGTAAAATAAAAGTTAAAGATCCATATAATCAGGCAAGACCTGATAGAGATAACAGATACACACATACAACGAAATTTTAGATGTTTAGATGATCTAGGGATGTCTGCTTTCATTCCTTCAGCCTAGTTCTCCAGAGACACAGACATAATTAGTTGAATGGCCACGTAGTGGAAGCACAGTTCTGATGTACGGTATCCCCCACAGAGCTTAACAGGTCAGGCCTGGTTACTTCCTTGCTAACCTTGCCTTCTTCACTAATGTGGACTCAAGAGGGCTGACCACATCAACTGCAGTGCAATGCCATGATCTGGAGAAGAAATACCGGTCACCTGTAGCAAAAGAAATAATTTGGAGCAAGACTAGAGGGTGATATTCACTTCTCTCCATTCCACTGTTTTCTCCACTTGCTGCACTTTTGAATCATGTATCTGTGACTTGGTAGCCTGTCTCTTGTGGCGCCGCTGATCCCCGCACCCTGTTGCTTGACATGCGTGTCTTTTTAAATCTTCACGGTTGATCCCTTGATAAAGTTATTATAGTTTAAATGTAACATTTTACATCTGTTTTGGATAAACATGGCTGTATAGTGTTGAAATTGCAATGAGAAAAGATCATTACCGCTTAAAAAGTGTGTGTACTCTCAGCTTTGTAATAGCTGATTGTATATATTCCACCCCAGTGGGGATAGATGAAAATTATAGTGCTAACAAAACCTCAACAATACAATGGCTGTGAGGGGAGAGAGGCAAATACAGCTGGAGTGTGAGGCTTGAGAAGTGGTTTCATCAGTCTTAGAATGCAGATATCTTATGACAAGCTCACAAAGCTGCAAAATGATACTTTTTGCAGTTTTGACTAGATTTTACCACAGAGGTTTAAACATGGGAAACGAGCTTACAGTCATGCTACAGTACAGTAGTAGTTTTCTGAGGCTGTACTTTGGAACAGTGGTGCTTGGAGCTGAGTACTAAAATCAGCCTGTTGCCTACAGTAACAGTACTGACCTGCCAGTGTTTAGCAGGTATAAAGTTTTTACTATTCATCATTTTAGTTTAGTGTCTTACCATTAACACTAGACCCAAAGTACAGCTGAGCTTGATGGGGATGTAATGAGTTTTCACATACATAGTTGAAAGCTTTGACCTGTTGGTGGCAATAAATGGAAAACCATCACAGCCCAGACCAGCTTCAGTTTATGCTAATAATTTCTCCATGGATGTTTTAGGAGAGCTGGGGGAAATCACAATTCCCTTAACTGATCATTCCTTGCTCTTCACTCGACCCAGAAGTTGTTCCAGTCCACCATCCTGAAGGATGTGCCAGGATCCCGTGAAGGGAAAGGACACAAGACACCATCCTTCATGAAGTCTTAATGGAAATCAGTTTGTCAGTGGACGCTTCAAATAGTGGATCACAGAAAGGAACGTCTCGTGTCTTTATAAATGTGTTTCCTGGATTTCTCTTTCCTCCCATTTATTCCTCATATTTTACATGTGAGGGACTTAGGCACAAGGAAAAGACACAAGTGAGGGAAATGTGGGTAAAGTTAAGGGAGTTGAAATTTAACCCTGGATATGGTGCGGCAAGTCCATCAGCCCCAGTGGCCACCCAAGGTACAGCAACAAAAAATGCCCCTTGACAAGAAAAACGTCTGCTGCCCCTTTTCTCCCTGTTGGTTTTCTTGTCACTTACAGTTTTTACAGTCATCACCATAGGGCCTTGTTGACAGTGACACTGTGATCAGCAGTGTCTTTGTGCCAAAGACACCATGTTTTCACATCTGGGTAAAGGGGGAAATGAGTTTAAACTAACTCACTTCTAATAAAAAAATATCTATTTACATTTATCAGGCTAAATGAAGGGGCTCAGTAACAGCAGGAGTCATAGCACACCATGGGATTTTGAAACAACTTACTGTAATTGAGGAGAAAATGAGAAAAACTCAAACAATCAAGCAATGTTTTCTCTTTTGTAGATAGTCGCACTGTAGGGGCTGATTTGAATCTGATGATAATGCAGCATTTTGTTTGTTTGTTTGTTTGTCTGAGTTTTACACAAATGTCATTTTGTTCAAACCTGCTAAGATGCGTGCCAGGATTTCAAACATATCTCTGTGAATTTCTAAGCGCAGATCTCTGCACTATTACAGACCGTTCACAAACATAACCTCTGTGTCGAGGTCTGACTCTCTCCCATGTAACCAAACCTTAGCAAATAGGACACGCATGGATATACAAGCTTTGATCAATACGGACTGGCAGACCTAGTTCCTTCCTCTTCCTATTACTTTCTCTTACTACCTGCTTTCTCCTATCACTCACACGTCCACTTGACTCCCTGGCTAGAGCTCAGGACAGAGAGATGTGGACTTTGCACTGAGCAAAAAGAAAAGACACCTTGTCACATGACATAATGAAGAACTAATGAGCTGTCCAGACCAGCTGAAGTGTTTGTGGCTTTAGCTCTGCTGTTGTGTCCCTCTCCTGGTGGAGGGGACGGAGCTGTTAGTGCGACACTGCCAAGGCGAGTGGAAAGGGAGCGTTGCTGCTGTCGGGTCATCACTGACCACTTCGTCTCTGTGAGCAACGCTGGATTCAGCAGGCTAACAGGTTGTTGGTGGGGGGGCAACATAAGACAGGCATTTAACACGTTTGGTCAATATCACTGATTAAGTTATTCTTATTGAATTTTATTTTGCAGTACATGTGAATCTATGTTAAAACAGTGTTCTCTGACAAATGTTAAATCAATGGGATAACCTTTTTTTTTCAGGCACCTTTTGAAATTCCTGTATATCCCAGTCAAATCAAAGTAATGTATACATTCAGTTTCCCAGCATGTCTTCCAGGTGGTTTCAGCCATATGGTAGGCAAGATGGCATCCAACAATGACACTGTGTCAGCCATAGCTGCAAGCCTCTTTTAGAGCTACCGCACTTTATAATGATTCATAGCAATAGTGATAGCAGCATATACAGCACAGCAGGACTATGTGTTCACTTACAAGCTTGTCAGTTCATTAGAATTGCAATGGGTTATTGAAGGTAAAAACTGCCTTTTTATTACGGAGATCTAATTTTTTTGATGGCTAGACTTGAAAAATGAAGAGATGCATTGCATATTCTTTCCCAGGCAGAGCAGGAACCCACAGCTGAGAAGTCAATTAAAAACAGAAAATACATCAAAGGCTTCTTTCCTTTTCCCTAATTTGAAACAAAGGAGGACCCACTGGCAAGGGCACACAAACAGGTGGTAATCCCTGTCTGCTCATGCACTTGGGTTTGGGGGTGCGTTCTCATTTTCATTCACTTGCTCTTGTTGACTAATTGCCCGACACTATGCAACTCGTGCGTTGACGGTGATATGAGTTCTGAGATGATGCCCAAACCAACCCTTGTCACGCCTTGGACCACAGGGGCTGCATGTGTTACCATGATAAGGCTCATTGCATTTATTTCAAGCTACTCATTAGGAATGTGTGCCTGAAACTCTTTTTCTATGGTGCTCTGAAAAAGATCGAAGCCAGGGGAGTGACGCATACAACTTGTGTAAGGAACACTTACATTTGGAAAATTAGGGGAGAACAGTAAGACTATATTTAAAGTACATCAAATTGAGAGCAGCAATATAAGAGTCACAGGGCTTCTACTGAGCTCCTCATGTCAGGACATAGTCATGACACAATGTTTTGAAACAATGAACATTACAGTAAATCAACTCTGACATGGCATACCAGTTAAAAAATATACCCGAGCGTAGCCTATAGTGAAGCACAGTACAGAGAAATCAGGCCTTTCCATTGTTACAAAGATTCTATCCTTCTTTCTCTTTCACTTTGTCTAATTAGTGAAGGAGAAAGGAAGAATAGCTGTGATGTTGCAAAACTCTGTACAGGGTTGTGGGCTATAAAATACCAAAACAACTTTTGAAAAATTGCACTGAGGTTATAACAGAATAAGTAAGACAAAAAAAATATTCAGGGAGAGCTAAGTTTTCCGTTTTGGAGATGTTTTGTTTTCCGTCATGGAAATAATGTAGTTTGTTGATGATGTGGGTGGCTGCATTTTCTTTCTATGTTGCCGGTATCTATAACAGTGTTACTATTTCTATTACAGAAGTTTGAAGTCCATCCAGAACCAACGGTTAGTGTTGCACACATGGTTTGTGCCGGTGGAGGGGTGTGGATGGCGTTCTCTGAGGGTTCCTCCATTCGTCTATTTCATACCGAAACACTGGAGCTTCTACAGGAAATCAACATCTCATCACGGTCAACACTTCTGAACACTGGTACATGCGCATCACACTTGATGTAAGACCCACATATAGAGGTCAACCTGTCAACCTCTATCTTGCAGAGCAGCAGAGACACTTTTTGTGTATGTGTGTAAAACATCATACAGTTGTTTTTTTAACTTTGTAACAGTTTATTGTCTCAAAATCGTCCACTAGACACATAGTTCACTTTTTTTATGTTTAATATTATTGTATATTTATTGTATAAGAGCAATGAGAGATCGCCAATATAACACTGATAATGCTTTTCTCTCTAGAACAGTATTCATGTTTTGTCCAAGTTGCTCCTTGGGTCTTACACGCTGGGGACTGACCTGAGTAAAGCATGTTCAAAGCCAATATATAGAGCCATGGGGTGAGGGACAGGGTTTAATAATAGAGAAATGAAGTCTTTGAGGAGCAGTAAAATGGCAGCCTTAAAGATTTTCATACTAAGGGTTCCCATGGAAACACTTGTCTTTCTTTAAACGTCTTGTGTCATCTTGCCCACTTTACCAGTTTTTCTCTGCACGTACTGTACCTGCACACTTTCCTCCCTGTTCAGTTCCTATTTTGCTTTCTTTTTGCCCCTCTATGTCTCTCTCACTCCCCATGTTGTCTTTTTCACTCTGCTTTAAAGTCCTTACAGCCCTTGCTTCACTTCTCACTGCTGTCCTCTTAGGATGTTGCTCTTTATTTCCGGTGTGCCTTCCTTTATAATGGTTAAAATTTTTATTTTCCTTTTTTGAGGGAAGAATGATGGTTAAAGAAAAACATTAAACAGTGAAGCGTAACTAAAATTGTCCAATGGTATTAGCTAGAGTACATGTGACTCAGTGTCAGCTTGGCTGTAGCTCATTCAGTACATGTGAAGATTTGATTTGGGGTCCAGGGAGCGGTGTAAATGCATCTGGACTTAGAAAATGTTGCCTTTTTCACTGAGACACAAGACTGCGATTGATATGTTTAGAGCAATACCCAAAGCTGCGGTAGCTCTCCGTCTCATCAGAAAACATACTGGATTTTCTCTTGTGAGTTGTGTAAATGGATAAAAACATGCATGTGTTACAGGCCTAACTTTTCTCTTTTGAAACAAAGTTTCTCTTTTTGTACAAGATGAGACTTTAAGGAGAACAGACTCCTATAGCTTTGGTATCTGGAGAAAACTGGTGACCCAAAGGTCATTTTCACCCACACCCAGTGCTTCCCCTTGAAATATGCAGCAGATTTTAAGGAGGGTGGCAGCCTCAAGGCCTGGCCCTGGGGGAAGTTATGGGGTGAAAAGAATGAGTTGTTCAGCTCCTGTCTTCAGGGTCCACAAAAGGAGGAGGATCTTTGACTTAGGTTCTGCTTTTTTTAGCTCACAAGAGAAAAGAGCATCACCCAGTGCTCTACAACTACAATTACTGCACATGAAATACTGATGGTTTCTCACTATCAGTGGGTCTCTGCTTTCCAATGTTTCTCCTTGACTTATGCTAGGACATGCAATACTGATATACTCCCTAATCCTCTCCCCTTAATGTGATTTATACTCAACAGGGAATTCGGGCTGCAGTAAACAACACAGAAGTTTCTGAGGCAGAAAAAAGTGCTGATCTCTTCTCTACTAATGTCTTTAATAGTTCTGTCCTTAGGGTGAAAAAATAATATTCCAAAATAAAGTCCTCAGTGACATATCACAAGGAAACATTTATCTTTGGAGACATCTTCTTTTTAAGGCAAATACTAGCGCCCACGATAAACCCATGACACACTGCAGAGTGTGTGCATTGCTGCAAAAACTGGAGGTGCAAGATTGCTGGAGGTTAAGCTATATTCCCTTAATCTCAAGTGCCTTTGTCATTATCCCTCTTTATCACTGTTCTTAAAGACAATGCCTGGTGCCCACATCTTCTGACTTAATTCCAGATTTCATGGTAACCCAAGAGTGGGTGTTCATGAGCATCTCTCTTTCCCACTTAAGCTCTCTAACCAAAGTACAAATAGACTCTGAGGCAATGTGAGCAGGTGGCAGACAGTTTCAAGATAAAGGCTGTTTTTGCCAGTGCCTCACTCACTGCTGTGACCCTCCGAGGTTTGCGCCTAAAGGCTCCCTCTTTGCTGAATGCACCTCCCTGCTCCGCCTCCCTTTCCTCTTATACACATAGCATCAGCTTCCTACTAGGGATGAGTCATTGCTACACAGTGAAATGATTTAATTGATCGTGCTGTTGAGCCACTCATGCAAATTGTCATAATCTAAGCATGGCACAGAACAAACATGTAAATACAGCTACACATACAAATGAGCATTCTCTTAGTTGTGATCACATGAGTGTTGATGTAATTCCATTATGGTTGCCATGGATATTATGGTAAATGGCTGTCTAGATAATTAGGCCACAATGGGAGCCAAGAGCTGAGGGACTGCAGAAAGAACATAAAAATAAATCCACGACAATGTTTTTCACCCCTTTGTTAACTGGAAACAAAAGATGTGCATGTATAATAGGAGCGTGCAGTTCCTCTAATCACTAGTGCAGTGCTATGAAAACAGCTCAGCAATGGAAAATTTCACAGCAGAAAATGTGCTGATTCTACTCCCTCACAGAATGTAAAAAGAAAACTTTATCCAAAGAAAATCAATGTTCAAACTCAGCCCAAGGAAAAAAAATCATCGTGAATTACTTTGTCATGCTAACAGAGAACCTCAGTCAGCACTAATACCAACTTGCTATATATCATCTGATCTGAGTAGTTACGGACAAGAATAAAACAAACAAACCTACCAGCAAATGAATGCAACACTATCAACAGTATGTTTGAATCACAGGGCTATCTGTCACAGGGCTGACACTCAGAGACAAACAACCACACACACTCCTACAGGCAATTTAGTCAACCTAAGCTGCATGTCTTTAGACTGTGGGGGGAAGCCGGAGTACCTGGAAAGAACCCACACAGGCACAGGGAGAACATGCAGACTCTGCACAGAAAGGCCACAGGTCGGCCTGGGTTCGAACCCAGAACCTTCTTGCTGTGAGGTGACAGAGCTAACCACTGTCACTGTGCCACCCAGCTGTCTGTACTACGTACAGAAAAATGAAAGTTGTTTTTTTCTGACCTCAAGTGGTTTAATGTCTCATCTCTTTGCAGTGGTGCACAGTAAGTCAGGATCCTGTAACAAAAGTGTTGGACGTGGTTACAACAAAGCACATTTCTAAGAAGGTGAACAATGAAACGTTTCTTCCCACCAGAGAGGGCAACAATACGCTGCTTTTCAGCCGGAATAGTTTTCAGTTGTTCTGAATGATTAGACCTATTTTCACATTTAAGCCGGATGACACAGAACTAGAACACACTAGAACAATATATGGAAAAATATATGTTTATAAAGGTCAGAAAGATGTCAGCCCAGCACTGACAGTACACACCCACTCAGGCCTATGAAGAGATCTGAGCGATCAACTAAAATTCCAGACACCTGTGTGGGTGTAGAGACTTGTTTATGAGGAAGGATTATAATGTCTGTGTTTATATTACCTTTAGAGATGGTTTCTGCGTGTTGGTTTTACTGTACACTGTGCAGTTGGAGGTGAAAACTCTGAAGCTCAATATTTCAAAACCATTCAGATGTCAAACAGAAATGTATTATACAAAGTTTCTTGTTTCCAATGCTGGGCTTTGTGCTGAGAGTTTCTTTTTCAAATGGATCAGCTAGAGCCCTAGGTGTCTGAGCTGGGCATGTGTCAAGCTTGTTAAATACAAATTGATCACAGAGCTTACACCTTACCCAAAGCTAACACTGATATCCAACAATAAAAATATTGCTCCTTTTTTCTGTCATGCTAGGTCTGAGTAGGTCATTTCTAAAATACAGCAATAATAAAATCAACAAAGGGTCAAACAGGCCATCCAGGTAGTAAAAGTTGGATCATTTTGAAAAGTGGGGGGGTAATCTGTTATTCTTTCAGAAGGTACCTTAATCTGTTGTAGACTTGAGCTGTCATTCTGTAACAAACTATGTTCAATTTTCGGTTCGTGTTTTCTGTATCGCAGGTCAGAAGAGCATGCGAGTCACGAGTCTTCTGATTTGCCAGGGTCTGTTATGGGTGGGCACTGCACAAGGTGTAATTATCACTCTTCCAGTTCCCAAACTGGAGGGCATCCCCAAAATAACAGGTATGGATCTGTGTGGGGCGGCTGGCTGTGACTGAACAGGCTCTCGAGAGGTCAAAAGAGCGGCAGAGAGGTTTTTTTCATAATGTAAAATTACTCTGCACTGCCCATTATTGAGGTTGCACTTCACATTTTTCTTGTAGCTTTGGGAGTCAGTGCAAATATTATCAGGCAGGCAACACACAAATCATCCTGTATATATATTATTGCAAGGTAATTTAAAAACTTCTTGGCAATTTTTTGTTTACTATGCCAAGTGAATGAGGTCATTAGTTTCCCACTTGCCCAAACTGTACTATATGACCATCTTTTTCTAGGCAGGTTATTGAATAATATATAAATACACCCATAACTATAAACACCTAAATGACTGCTACAGGTGTGATTTATGATAAATAATTACAGATAACAGTTAATGACATATGGTATTATCTGTGGAAACCCTTCTATAATAATATGCTTTAACTGATGTTACAGTGACTTAAACCCAGCCCAGCAGAGATGTATAATATGTTTTCTCTCTCTTAAATATTCTGTCTGCCTGATTCTGACAGGAAAGGGAATGATCTCTCTCAATGCCCACTGTGGGCCTGTGGACTTACTGGTAGCCATCACTAGTGCCCTGTCTCCTGAACTGCTGAAAAGGGATTCTGTTGGCGATGGCCCAGACTCTGCCTGTGGAGCCGAGGACCGCAGCGACACTTCCTCTCAGGAATCCCTCCAGCAGTCCAACTCCTATCAGGGAGAGGGGATGGGCAAAGGGCGCGGCATTCTGCTACAGTACAAGCTGCGCTCCACAGCAGGATTACCTGGCCGTCCGTTAACGGCGCAGGGCGATGAGGCATCAGATTCCTCCCTGGAATCTCTAGAGCACAGCGTGGAAGACGGATCTATCTATGAGCTCAGTGACGACCCAGAAATGTGGGTTAGGGGGCGTCCCTGTAAGAGGCAGACAGGGCACAAGGACAAGGTGATCTCTGCAGCGGTTATCTCTGGAGGTAGGGGTTTCCGTAGACTGAAGGAAGGCACGGCAGCAGGTACTGGGATGAGTGGGGAGGGTTTAGAGAATATTCTTATGGTATGGCAGCTCCCACTGACAGTGTGATATGGAAAAATAAATTGCAAGGTGATGTGTATTCATAGATGTCTGCTTAGCTTAGTCTCAAATCACCTTCTCCATAAATTTAAGGGATTGGTCTGTATGATGAGAACATATTGCCACTGTTACAGAACTTGACATCTTATGATTTAGCCTGTGGAATAAGGAAACGAAGACATGTTGTTTACAAGAGGTACCGTCAGCCCATAGGACGATTTTGTTCAGGAGTTTGCATCATCTTCTTCCCAACAGTAGCAATTTATTCTATGATTATTATGATCAGGTTCCTCTTCCCAACTTAGTTAGGATTGATTTGCCTCAATTTAATCTCATCATTGCTGCATGTGGTCTGCCACATTTTTGTGTGAAGGACTTTTGTGAGTGCCCATGGACAGCATGCCTTTGAGTGGCTGCCTTTGTTGAATCTGCTATGCTCTGCAGAGGCAGAGATGGACATCTTTTATCTGATCCAATGGGAGAGATCCCATCTGTTCAGAGTTGAAAACTGGGGACTACCATCGCATCACAAGGCACATTAGCATCACTTTATTAGCTTTGCCAGTCTTTCTCTCATCCCATACGATGTGAATGTATGATAGCTTCTGGCTCAGAACTGAATTTATGTCCTCTACATGCAAGAATTTCTTTTCTGTTGCAAAAATAAGTATTGGTTATGAGAAATGAGACACCACCTGGACCTGAAAATGCCTTTGTTGGTCAAAGGAAAGCAAACTGGGGGGAAATTTCTGAGATCTAAGAGGTTATGCTGTAATTATTACAGATTTACTTGAAAAGTTTTGCTGCCATCTTTCAGAGTATTATGTTGCTAATGCCAGATATCTCTTTCATTATTCACTATGATCTATCAGTTAGCTCAAATAGACGTGTGCACAGGCTTGTTTATACATAGCTACCAACCAGCCACACATCAGAAGCAAAATGCTCTAGACAAGCGACAAAATAAAAGTGGTGCAGCTGTGCAAACTGCCAATGGCTAATGAACATACCAGCCTACCTAAGAGAATCACCAGTTAGCCTGTTTATATGCATGTTCATTTTCAATAATATACAAGATGATTTTTATTAAATGTGGTGTTTTACAGAACATAGCAAAAGTTTGTATTACATTAAACAGGCACTGATGTGTTGTATTACCTGTGGTATTATCCAGAAGCTTTGTCCCATCAACACTTGTGTTCATGCTAATAATTGGTAAATATTTGGAGTTTAATGCAAGCATCAATATTTTATGATTAGGATGTGATGATTCTTATAAACAGCTTGTCATCCCTGTTGGGTGGAAACACTGACAATGGTGGACATGGTGTCACTACTTCCCTCCACTATGCAAAAGTGAAGCCAAAATGCCATGAATACGGCAGCTGCCATTTTGCATTTATGCAACCAGTAGTAACCAGAAGTGGAGTGACAGTATCGGACCGCCAGTCAAAGCTGTCAAATCAACTGAAAAAAAAAACCCTTTCATATAATCAAATAGCCTTTTATAAACAAACTTACCAGAAAAATGACCACTTGTACACACATCCGAGTGATAATATCTACCAAAAACACAGAAATCACCTTTTTGAAAAATCTATTTGAATTGCACTTTGACTTTTTAGTTTGGCTCATGACCCATCCACTAACATGGAGGAGGTGGGATTTATGACCTATACTGCAGCCAGCCACCAGGGGGCGATTGACTTTTGGTGGCATGACTTCTGGGAGCTCTCGGCCTGTTCGTTGTTTATACAATAGGTGGGTGGAAACCTCCCATCTTTATCTTTGATGGTTTTTGCAGATCAAAAATGATATGGCCTTGCTTTAACCTGATTTCATTAATATAGAAATGCATTGTCACTACGCTTTACACAGGTTGTTCTTTTTTTTTACTTGTGAAATAACAAGATAATGGAACAACATGATTTGTGTATATCAACAGCAGTATGTTGAAACAGACTTGATATGAGAAGCACTCAGTGGTACAATGTGTAATACTGTGAAGATTTTGTTTCATAGCATCTTAATTCAAAGTTATAGTAGCATTGGCAGGGGTTTGAACAAGGACTATTGCCAAATGACATCTACAGACGGGTGATAAATGAAAGGAAAACCCATATAAATGAATAGATGACAGGATGACAGTGCCCCCATCCACAGGGTACGACGGGTCAGTGAACGGTCTGATGAGTATGAAAATGATGGATGTTGGATCGACATGTTAGACAGTGTCTCCACTATCATCAAAATACCAAACGAGGGAATATCTTTTGGAAGAATGGTGTTCATCCCTCCAGTAGAGTTCAGAGGCTTGGCGAGTCAGTGCCAAGGTGAAGCTGTTCTGGTGGCATGTGGTGGCCCAACAGCTCACTGAGGCACTTTATGTTGGGTTTTCCTTTCATTTGTCACCTTTCTGTGTCTTGCAGACAAACCCAAGACCATACTTTACAGTTATGTTTTCCACAGGGTGATGACACAGTAGGTGAGGAAACGTAAGTGTCCCCCTGTGAACACAGCTTTGTGGTTTTTCAATAGACCAAGCGATGGGGAATGTTATGGTCCAGTATATCAGTTTCCTCCTCCTACATCTCTGCTCAGCTCTTCCACCAAACATGGATTCTCGACTTATCCCTTCATCACAGTTGAAGCAAAAAGTTCATGTTCTGTATTTCCCTGAGGCACACCAAGGTTTATTTTCTCCCCACAGCTGAAATTCTAAAGCAGTTAAACATCCTGCTGTCAGCCAAAATCATTCAAGAAAAATATGATGTCCTCAGATGCTTTCATCTAAATGTAAATCTCAATGTCACGTGAGAAATGTTTAATCTAATTCCTGTGAGATTCAGTGTGGCTGGAACCACAACCCCCTCATGGTCATTACAGAAATTGTTTGTTCACCTTTACTCGGATGAGCGTCTATACCTGCTGCAGCAGCTGATGAAATATGCTTTACAAACGCTGTCGTGGAGAAGTTTCAATAGTGTAAACGTATGTTGACCTTTGATGGACATTGACTCATCCATTTCATTTGCTTACACTACATGTGTACAGGTATTATCCATGCACTGAATATTAATACTCACTAATGAACCTACTGTACTACTAATTAGAACTGTTACTGTACTAATTAAACCTATATTCCCTTTTGTAAAGGAACAGTGTTGATAGTCACAGTTTATTTTTCTGTTGTGTTCTATATGGTTAATTAAAAATAAGATCTTACTTTTGGCCTTCTCAGTAATTCTGTGCTGTTTATTCAGATCCCCATTAGCTGCCACCGAGGAAGCAGCTACTCGTCTTGGAGTCCAAAAAAACATGTACTCCACAAGATAATTGCTAAGATCTGGGAACATGGTGACAAAGTCTGACAAGGCAAGAAATACAGTCAAATGATCATACACGTTCTAAACAAGCATCTTGATTAGCCAGATTTATTTGGAAGGGAGAAAATAGGAACATTATTCTTATTGCTCAGACTGTATATTGTAAACATCTGTCACTGTTCACAGACCTACTTGCAAGCTCAACTTTGATGCACCACGCTCGCTGTAGCTGTGTGCTCTCCGTTTTCCTGTGCAGTGAAGCATTGCTGCTGACATAATGGGTTCATTCACCTTTAGTTTTACCACCTACAAGTGTTGGGTTGTTTACAACCTGTGTGATCACCTGACTGCTGTGTTTCTTGACCTGTCAAACTTTGTTGTAACAGTGTTGTCAGATCTCAGTTTGGTGAGTAAAATACAGTATTTCCATAAATGAAATTATGTAACGACCATCACATTTTGGTACAGTACGTTGATGTTACATGTCTAAGCATTGTCTAAGAAGCTTATGTGAAATTAAAAGCATGTTTAAATAGTTTGAGTTTGGTCTTTTTTAACTGATTGAGAGTGATGATGATCATCAAACATACATTCATTTAGTTAGAAAAATACTCTGTGTTGTATTTTACTATTTCTCTGTGACTCAGCAAAAAAAAGAAAAATCTTTGATAATGTCATTTGGATTATTTCCCACTTTTCTGGTGTTTGGTTATGCAAAGTACAATAACTATACCTCTACATCTGTTGGAAGCCAGTGCTAAAAGGAAGAAAAATAATGTTTTTGTTGTGTAAAAGATACAGAGATGGAAACTAACTCGGATATAATGCCCCTAAATTTTGAACTCAGCAGTGTGTAAACTTCTATACACTATTCTCCAGACAAACACAGGCCAGTTTTATTGGTTTTTCATTGCTTTCTTAACAGTATCATTTTTAGAAGTTGATTGAATGTTACAAAATATAAAATAAAATGTTGACTAACCCTTTTGTTAAAGTACAAAAGCAATGACAGAGTCAGTTAGAGGAAAAAGTTCCTCAAATTGACAGTTTTTTTTGTCAATTACAGGTTCTGCAGTTTCTTTGAGTGCAGTGTTTGAGTAAAGTTAAATGATAACCATTGAGCGTTGCTCTTCACTTTCAAACTAGGTGGAGTGCCAGAGGCTTAGGTCATCGCTAGCACAACACACTTCAGGGAGACAGGCGGGGTTGTTACACACTGCGATTGAAAATGCTTTGGGAAAACCCTACCATTTCCCATCCTGCTCTGACTCTGCCTATCTTTATTTTTCTCTTTCATTGTGTTTTCTTTGTCCCCTTCCACATGTGTCAAAGAAGCATGGAATACAGATCCACAGTCATAGTAAGCTAGTAATCATAGTATCATAGTAAGAAATTAACTGGGGTGCCATTTCCTCATGAGCAATAATCAGGCCAATGTGAGCCTTTGGCCTTTGGCTGACAAGTTGCATTTGGATCTTTCTGTTCCTACTGATTCCACGTGGAGTAGTCAGGCCATATAAACACCCCCCTTTGGTGCTGACAGTGTTAGATAAAGGGTCATGGGGCGGGGGCAGTGGGGCTGTACATCCACTGAAGTGAGTCTCAGCAGTAGTCTGCAGCAGTGGTTCCAAAATGGTGTGCGCAGCACACTGGTGTAACGTGGGGCAAGTCCAGGTGTGTCATGGGATTTTATGACAACCATACATTACTATTGCAATATACAACTATACAAAGAGCTATGAATTCATTTTTAATTTACTATTTCTGTACTTTGGACACACTCATTTCCTAATTCAGAGGCAAATCCTAAAGCCTAAATGAATTTCCAAACAAAACAAAAATAAGAAAGAAACAAAAAGAACTTTCAGTAGATGGTATCGTGACAGCTATCTGTCTTATGGTTTCAGCCCGAGTGTGTCATCTGTCTGGAGAAGTTAGCTAATGCTAATGTGGTGCCAAGCGAGCTGAAGAGGCGCTTGGAAACCAAACATCCCTTCTACATTGAGAGAGACGTGGCCTACTTCAAAAGAGCACGGGATCTGCACCACAGGCAGCGACACTCTTTATGGCCCTGTGTGAAATTGTCTGATAAGGTGATGGAAAACTATATGCTAGTGGAGCTTATTGCAAAGCAGAAGAAACCTCATGGTAGCGGAGACACTCATCCTCCCCACTTGCAAAAAAAATATAAAAAATTGCAGGTGTCATGCTGTTGACATATGTATTTACTTTTTATAAGCAAGTTAGCTTTTATTCCCAGTGCATCTCTCTTCTCTGTTTGGCCTGTAAGGAGTGATTACATCTTGATGCTTCCCTCTCATGCCACATCTACCACTCCTCCCTCACTCACTTTTTTTGTCAGTAAATAAAAATAAACATTTATAGACTGATTGTATAGAGGGATTTTTCATGGATATGAATACAGGTGTGAGATTTTGGCTTGTCCATTGGTTTGCCTAGAGGACAAAAGCTTGAAAACCACTGGTCTACAGGAAATTAGCAGGAAGAGGTCAATGCTACAATACATTATAAAAGAGCAGCTAAACAAGTGAAGTCAGAAGGAGGTTCAGGTGCGTATAGCAACACTGAGATAATTACAATGCATCTTGTTTTATATACTGTAAATCAACTTGAGGTTGCGTATGAAAAAAGTGTATGAACACAACCACAGGCAGGGCTTTTAAATAAATTTACATTAGTATCTTTCCTACTCATGCAATGATGCAGTTAGATATCCACAACACTAAAAATTGCATTCTCTGCCATTATTATGCCTCCTCATCCTCTGTGGATCTCTGTAATCTAGGCTTTGTTTACTTGCACTCCTTTCAGTTTGCTGCAAGCTCTCATTTACTCAAGATTTTTGGCTCAAAGATGTTATCGGGAGAGCACCAATACACAAACCAACACCCAGCAAAACAATGTGAATCACACTGCTACAGTCGGCTGCTGAGAGGGTCCATAAAACTCCTGGGAGAATTGAGAATGTAACAGTGATCTGATAAAGTGGTGCTGAATTGCGACTTGTACCTGGGTCAGCAGTAGAACACATCCTTGCCTAGAAGCAAAATGAGAGGCCAAAATGCTGCGCAAGCATTTCACTGTGAAGACTCAGACAGTATAGGGCATAAATATGGGTGCTTTTTCTGGTGAGACTTCACAAACCCCCTTTTATAAACCTTTCTATAGATATTTTCTGCCAATTAACCCTGCTCCAGGAGAGATTTGCCTATCTCAAGCCCCAGCTTTGCGCCTGTGCAGCTTGCGGCGTCACTCTCCCTACGTCTCAGGTATAATTTGCATGCCTCGGTCGAGGCTAAACTGAGGCGGATGAAGCATTGCAGTTTGAAGGTCTCCCTGCTTTATCTGCCGACTCCTAAAAGCCAGGCATATTTGCATTGGTTTTCATTTCCGCAGGCTTGGCAGTACGAATGATAAAGGAAGAAGAGCACACTGTACAAACCTTGCTTAACAAAGGAGGCTGTAAATGATTTGCATATGGAGAATGCAAGGATAAGGCCCACACAGGGCTGATTCGGGTGTTATTATCACCCTCCATCAAGACTTGGAGCTGATGCCTGTCGACATCCGGTGCACAGGCGCACAGAGAGGGATAGCGTCACTTCTTGGTGTCCCGTGTGGCTGTCTCCTTGGCAAAGTTTGTCTTGAGACTGACTTGAGAGTGCTGTCACTGCTGCTTACAGGTATGTTTTATTTACTACGTTTTAATCATGCAAAACATTAATGAAATTTTGATCACTGTACATTATTCAACATGTCCCCTAGGAGACGGGTCTGTTCAGTGTCTGTACTGAATAGTTATTGTCTCCCCCAGTGTTTATCTCCATCTGTTTAGTGAAGAGATAGTGGAAATAAATGTAGTGCTTTGTAGGACTGGTGTCTGAAATGTTTTACCTTCCTTTAGATAAGGCATTATCCTTTATTTTTGCAGTCTGTAAAATCATAATAGGCATAGTGCAGCTGAGCCATTTTATAGGCAATTTCCTCACA